GGGACCCATACGATTACCATAGGGGGGCTATACGATTACCATACGAAAGCCATACGATTACCATCGCACAACCATTCGGTTGCCTTAGGAAACCATGCGATTCTCATCGGAAAGCTTAGCACGGGTATCGCACGACAACCCAGCGTTTCCCAGCGGACAACCATACGGTTATCATAGGAAAACCATACGATCATCTTAAGAAACCATACGATTACCATGGAAAGCCATACGATACTCCTAAGAAAACACGGGCGACGATCATGAGACAACCATACGGCAACCATTGGAAAACCATAGGTTTTCTATGGCAACTCATCGGGTTACCAGAGGAAAAAACTTGTACGACTATCATAGACCGCCATGTGCTTTTCATAGAACAACCATACGATTACCATCGGAAAACCATGCGAACACGTTACGAACACCGTATGACGAGCGTCGGCACAACAATACGATTACAATAACAACCGCACGATTACCACAGGACAGCCATACGATTACCATAAGACGCCCAAGTGCTTACCATAGAAGATTGCACCAGTGCCACAGAAAACCGTACGATCACCGCAGGAAAACCAGACGATCACCACAGGATAAACCACACGATCCCCATAGGAGCGCCATACGAGTACAATACGCAGACCATTCGATTGCCACCGGAAGGAAAAAACATAGGATTACAACAAGACAATCATACGACTACCATAAAACAGCCGTACGATTACCATGGAAAGCCATAGGATTGCCATAGGAAGTCTCCACGGGTACCATTGGCATACCATGCGATAACCATCGGAAAACCACCGGTTCTGAAAGGAAAACCATGCGATCAACATGCGAAAACCAAGCGTTCACAATAGGAAGGCCATACGACTACCATAAGAAGACCATACCACTACAGTAATACAGACATGCGTTAAGTATGGGAAAACCTAAGAGTACCATCGAACAACTATACGACCACCATGGGAAAACCATACGGCTACCATAGGACAACCACACGAATACTGTCGCAACGCGATACGACTACCATACCTAAAAACAAGCTCTTACCATAGGAAAGCCGCACGACCATAACAGGACAATCTTACGCTTACCGTAAGGCAAACACAGCATTACCATGGGAAAGTCATACGAGTGCCATAGAAATCTATACGCATACCGTTGGAACACACACTACGATTACCATAGGGAACTCATGCGATCACCATAGGAGCACCATGCGAATACAATGCGACAGCCAAGCGTCTACCATAGGACCGCCATACGATTACCATGCGAGCTGCAAGTGGCTACTACAGGAAAGCCATACGAGTATCACAGGTCAATCATACGGTTACCATAAGACAAACATACCGTTACCATGGGAGAGTTGCACGAGTGCCATTGCAAGATTTGCACGACTATTATGGGACAACCAGACGACTACCATGGGAAAACATACGGAGACCAGACGACAACCCAGCGTTTGCCATAGGACAACCATACGATTTCCAGCAGAAAACCATGCGGTTACCAGAAGACAACCATACGATTACCATGGGAAAGTCATGCGAGTGCCATAGGCCGTTTGCGCTTGCCAATGGAAAATAAGGGTCTTTAGGAGTCTCGAAGGAATCCTCGAATCCGCAGCAATTCTTAGGACATATTCGGATCCCTGAGAATTTCTCGGGAAATCCTCATGGTTCTTCTGATCCGCAGCGATATGACGGACATCATCGGAATCCCGATGTTCCTCAGGGAGGCCTAGGGAATCCTCAGCCCCTAAGGCATCCCCGGATCCTTCGGAATCCAGAGAGAATCTTCGGACCCTCAGGAATCTCCTTGGAACCCGCGCGGATTTTCAGGAATCACCCATGAAGCCTCGGAGCCTCCAGGATCAGTCTAGAATCTTCGGATTCTCCGGGATTCCTAGGAAATCTTCGGGTCCTCAAGAACCCAGAGAAAATCTGCGGATCTCCAAGAACCTCTGAGGAAAACTGATGGGATCTTCGAATGCTTGTGAATCCCTAAGGCATCCTCGGATCTCCAGGAGCCCCTAGGGGCAACCTCACAAATCCTCAGGAATTCCCCGCGACGCCGCGGGGGTCTGCACGGAGCTCTCGGACCCGCAAGAATCCCTCGGGAGTCCTCGGGCCCTGTGGGGTCTGTCGGGGATCCTTCTGGCTTCGCGTGCATCTTCTATGGCCGCCCTGGAACCCCGGGGAGAAATCCCGAGGGGGCCCTCGGCGATCCCTTAAGGCGTTTCCGGATGCAACGGCATCGCCAGGGAATCTTTCGGGGTCCTCAGGGAATCTTCGGATCCGCAGGACTCCCCGGGGGATCTGCCGGGAATCCTCGGGCCCTCAGAGATCCCAGGAAATAATCTTCGGATTTCCAGGCGGCGCGCCCGACCGAAGCGCGCAGCTGCGCGACCGCGCCGAGGAGGCGGAGACGGACGCGACGCCAGCAGCATCCCCCCCCCCCCCGCCCAGGAGGGCGAGCAGTGGCCGGCCTAGTCCGCGCGGCGCGCGCTCTTCCTCCGCTGCCCCCCGCCCGCCACAGCGAAGTTTGCTGGTCCGGATTCTGACGCCGCCTATCCGCGCCTGGCAAGGGAATCGTCGCAGACGCCTTCGACAGCCACTACATCAGTTACTGCTTGCGTGTCGGAGATGCAGCGCTACTCGCGTCGCCGCGAGCCCGGCAGGGCGATGGGGCAGCAATGGAAGTGGTCACGAGCACAGTTGCGAGCATTCCGCCGGCCACAGTCCGGCATTGCCCACCGGGGCTCGCCCCGGGACCCCGCGCCAATTCGCCCGCCAAGACGGCGTTCCATACTGTCGCGATGTCAACGGAATAGCTTGAAGTTCGAATGCGCACAAGGATTGGCGCGCGGCCGTTTGCAACGCGGTCGCTGATCGACTCGTGCCCGAGGGAGCAGCAGATCGGATTCATGTAAAGAGGACGTGGGCAGGGGTCATGCTGCAACTCCACGTGCGATTGGTCGCCCACGTTCAAGTGGCCTGAACAGTGTCGTCTGCGCTGGCGGAGCCATAGAATGTTGGGGCCACGGGCGCACGGGCTGTTTTTTTTTTTTTTGACGAAGAGGTTTCGGCATTGTCGTCAAGTTTCCAGCGCGCTCAACCGTGAACTGTTCGTCAGCCCGACAATCCAGATTCATTCTGGACGCGCCATGACTACGAGATTCGCGAGGCAATGAGGCCTGCGCAAGTACGCGGGGGCACGTCCGATCGCGACGGTCCAGGCGAGATCTCCGGCCAATGGGCGCGTGCAAGCGCCGAAACAAGCAGCGACGACGGAGGACCTACTGGGTCTCGAACTGGATCGAGAGCACCGTGACGCGCGTTCACGCGCAGTTCTGCACGCCCCTTTCCGCGCCTGCCGAGATCTCGCCCCCGTTCCCCCTTGACATGAAGGCGGGCAGCAGGGCGACCTGCGTCAATCCCACGCGCGAGCGTCGCCGACGCGTCGAGCTGGAGACGGACCATTACCGCGCGCGAAATTTTGCTTTCCGAGCGGGCAGGCTTAACAGCATCCCTCATTGCCGAGATGCATCCGTCATTGGCCTGTCCTGTCCACCCGAAGAGGCAGAACGGGCGCAGGCGCGCGAGGGGCGCGGCAACGCGTTGGTCGAACTTCAGAAGTAAGTGGATTACGTCCACGACGTTGGTGACGGCCTCTTTGGGCTTGGCTCGGATGGGCAGCTCGCTGGGCTGCTCTGGGACATTGCCATCGAACTCGCCAGGGAGTTCCAGGTTGATGAGCACCCGATGGGATCGCACGCAGCAGGGGCCATTGCTGGATGCCGCGCAGCGTTTCCAGCGTCCACGTACCAAGCCACAACCTTAGAACATGCCTGGCCACGCTCCGAGCCATGGTTCCCGGCGCGGACTTAGGTGGGCTATGCGGCGGTGAAGCCTGCGCCGCACGATACTTCGAGACTACCTACCATTTCGACTTGGTTAGTAGATGTGATCTAGGCGACACCACCATCCAACCGTACTTCTTACACTTCCGCAAGTGCAACAGAGGACTGGTGGGTCCGTCGGTGGTTCCCTAGTGTTTGCCGCCGCGGGTCGGGCAACCCGAACGCGATGCCTTTGGTGTTTTCAGGCTGGTCTGCGCCGCGTTGCACCTTCGTGGTCTGTCCTGTTTACGATGCTTTTTTCATTGGGATCTCCTTGTGGTGCTCCTAGAGCATCCCTTGATTTCGGTCGGCGTCCAGGGTCCGTCGCTGCGGCGCGGCCTCGGAGGTTATGCTGTTCCAGTATTCGATGCGGTCTGGAGTGATCTCGGCGCAATATACTCTCTTGGCTGTCTGGTCTCTCTCCCGGGTAATCATTGCGCCCGTTGCAGTTGATTCGTCGCAGGGAACAGCGAGCTCTGGCGGCGGCCATGGCACCGTCATGCTGCCGTACTGGCCCGCCCAGCGGCCTCGACTACCGCATTTATTTATCACGGGAGTTGGCGGACCCACCACGATGCGAGGAACATGCGCCGCGCATCTCCTCCCGCGGACGCAGCCCACCAGCAAGACTGCGACAACTCCCCATCCGCGCGCGCCCCCTCCGCGCGAGGCGCCGCCCGCGGCGCTCGGCGAGCCCCAGAGCTACCCGCCAGCGAAGCCTTCGCGCGCCAGCTCGAAGGTCGCCGCGCCCCCCGTCGCAGCGGGTCGAGCGCGAGCCGGCCAGGTCGCCGCGCCCCCCGCTGCCAGAAACGAGCGCGCGCCGGCCGCGCCCCCGCGGCAATGCCCGCCGACGCCCCCGTCGCACCCGCCCGATCAGCCATGGGGCCAGGAGGGGCGGCACGGCGAGCAGCAGAGGGACCGGGAGAGCGAATGCGACAGCGATTCAGCCCACGGCCCAGGGCGGCGCCCATCTCTGCTGCGCCCGCGGGATATGGCGCCGACCAGCTCTCGCCGGTCAGCGGCAGTCACGACGGGGAAGGGCAAGGGCAAGAACGAGGGAGCAAGCACCAGAACAAGCCCGATGGCGACAAGCCCAAGAAGAAGGTGCGCCGCGGATGCGACAAGGTCAAGAGGTGGCGCTCGGCCGCCTCGCGCGCCGCAGGCGGCGACGACGACGACCGCAAGTCCTCTCCTGGCAGTGCCGCCCCGGACGCGCCCAGCGAGGAGGTGAAGGTTCAGCGTGGCCGCAGCGGCTCCCTGCCTCAAGGTGACTGAGGTGGTGAGCCTGAGGCGATGTGGCCAACAGAGTGCACGCCCCTCATCGTCATCCTCCATCCCTCACTTTCTCCACCTTGCCCGGTCGAGACGTCGTCGCGCATCAACCTCGCTTCCCCGCGTGGCTCCGGGGCCGTCCGCTGCACTTGGTTTTCTTTTCTGGTTTCGACCTTGTTGTCTGCGGCCCGGTGTCACCAAACAGATGCAGATTCGGCCTTGCCGACTTCGCGCCATTATTACTAGTGCGAATTTCTCTTTTGCAACCCGCCAAAGCACGAACGGCTGCCCCGACCGGGGTGGGCCTGCCCCCCGCCGTGCCGCGCGCGGCCAGTCCGGACGGCGACGGGGTATCCGTGCTGAGTTTACAAATTCAAGCAATGGCCAGGCGTCCCGGCATGCATATAGGCTATGGGCCCACCAAAGAATGTTCTAAGACAATTTTGTGGTTTCCACGAAACGTTATTAGAACATGAATGGCTGAGTCTGTCTTGCTTAACACATCGGTCTCATGTTATATAAAAAACATCGTCTTCGTCATTGCAACATCCGTGGGTTCTAAGAATATTCCGTGGTTGGCCTATGGGATTGCCGGGACGGTCGGTCCCTTGTTCCCCAAAAAAGTGTGTGGGGGCGGGCACTTTTGTTTTTCTCCGGCCTGCATCTCCGCCAGAGCTTTTCGATCGCCCGCGCAAGCCCGATTCAAGTAAATTGCTCTGCCGCCGTTTGGCTGCAGTGCCGCGCGAACTAAACATATTCTGATAAGTGAAAAAAATCCGCTCATCTACATCGTATTGCCGCAATGCTTCCTCTCGTCGGGTTTCCAAACCTTGTAGTATCAGTTGCTGTGCCTGTTCCCTTACTTGTTCCGCCACAGCACATGCCCATATCTGCGCGCAGCTCGAAGTGGAGAAGGTGGGAGGTTCCGCAGAAAGATGGAGCGGCCCATCGAGCCGTGCTTGCTGTGGCAGGCCCGAGCTTTGTCATCGGTGTGGTTTGCCGCGCTTTGCCCCCGTTGTACCTCTATTGGAAAGGCCTGACGGCCAGTGCCGCCGACCCTGATCGAAAAGGCTAGGGGTTGGGGGAGGAAGCGGAGGATGAGGAGGAGGAGGAGGAGGAGGAGGAGGAGACGGAGGAGGAGCAGGACGAGGAGGAGGATGAGGAGGAGGAGGAGGAGGAGGAGAAGGAGGAGGAGGAGGAGGAAGAGGAGGAGGAGGAGGAGGAAATGCATCCTTTGTGTGCCCGCTCGAAGAAAATGCGCCCTGGGAGTGTGATATTCTGACTTGGGACGTGCTCCCGGAAGAGGAAGAAGTGCATCTCGGGCGTGCCCGTTCGAGGAGAGTGCGCCCTAGGGGGGTGGTATTTTGACTCGGGGCCCGCTCCCGGGACGCCTCTGCGGGAGGAGGCGGAGGAGGAGGAGGAGGAGGAGGAGGAGGAGAAGGAGGAGAGGAGCAGGAGGAGGAGGAGGAGGAAAAGGAGAAGGAAGAGGAAGACCAGGAGCAGGAGGAAGTGCATCCCGTGCGTGCCCCCTCGCTGAAAGTGCGCTCCGGCGGGGGCGGGCGTCGTATCTGCCCCGGCCCCCCCCCTCCCCCCCCCCCCCTTGCGGGGAAGGGATCAAACGGAAGGGGCTTCCCCTCGACTCCATTAAGACGTCGTTTAATTTCGCTTTGGATAGCGCGCTTGAGGAGGAGAGCCCTGGGAGGGGGAGAACGGAGACGACGGAGACGACGAGTCGAACGGAGAAGCCCTTCACACACGCCGACAGGGTCGGCGGATTTTTTCTCGTGGGCAGCGCCGCCTCCACCGCGGCGACGTCGGTGCGCGAGCTTACGGTTGGACGCCTGGGCCGACCCTTTTGTGCGTCCAAGGGGGTCCAGGGGTTCCCGTGAAAAGGCGAATGGGCCTGGCTCGCTCACTGCCTATCCCGAGGCCATTTTGATCCGATCGATCCGGTTCGATGTCGAATCTGGCCGGCCCGACCCGATTAGTGTCTGACAGCCTGGCGATCCGATGCGGCCCGATGCATGCACGGCGTTGTTGTGCGTCGATTCGATGTCGATTCCGTGCCGACGCAGGGGCCGATCCGATGCACACTTCGATGCGATCCTTAGTTGCCGATTCGGTGCTGTCTGATCTTGGGTATGCAGGCGACGCTTACTTCCGCAGTGCTCTCGGCGGCCCCCACCCGTACTCCGAGCAGCCGTGTGCGCCTCCACCCCCCATCGCGAGCCATGTAGGGGTCGCCGCAGGGTCTCCGATGGGTGATGCGAGGAAGGATACAGGGGGAGGGCGGCGGGGAGGGGCAGGGGAATGGGGGGAGAACGAAAGGGATGGCAGAGGGAGACGGAAAGGAGAGAAGGAGAAAGAAAGAGTGAGAGGAGAGAGAGAGAGAGAGAGAGAGAGAGAGAGCGAGAGAGAGGGAGAGGGAAAGACAGAGAGAGAGAGAGAGTAAGAGAGAGACAGGGTGAGAGAGAGAGGGAGAGAGCGAGAGAGAGAGAGGGAGAAGAGTAGAAGAGAGGGGAGGGGCTACAGTGCCGGTAATTGGGCAGCGAGGCCTCCTTACCCTAGTGTTGACGCCACTCCAGACTGGATCTAGGCTACGTCGAGATCGAGAGAAGGAGAGACAGCGAGAGACGGGCGAGAGAAGAGAGAGAAAGAGAGAGAGAGAGAGATAGACTGAGAAGTTCTTGACGCTTCGCGCATCCCCACCAGCCCATCCAGAAACGATGCCCATGAGAGTTGACGGGGGGAGGGAGGAAGAGGCACGCATAGTCAAACAGCGACGGAGGCTTGGGAGGCTCCGTGGCCATCTCGAGCTGTCTTGGAGCGGTCTTGGGGCCGCTTGGAGCATGTTGGGAGCCATCTTGAGCGCTGCCCCCTGAGAAGGACAAAATGAGCCCAAAACCTTCGTAAAATCAGTGATTCTGAGAACAAGGAAGAGGAGCGCTGCCCCCTCAGAAGGCCAAAATGGGGCCGAAACCGTAGTAAAAGCAATGATTTTGGCTTCACAGAAGAGGAGAGCTATCTGAGCCATCTTGGAGGTCATCTTGGGCTCTCCGAGGCCGCTCGGGGGCCCCTCGGCTGCCTCTCGGGTGCCGCTTTTGGAGCCCTCTTGGGGCCTATTGGGGGCGCTCTTGGAGCCCTCTCGGCGGCCTCCTGGGAGCCCTGGAGCGCCGTTTGAGGCCACCTTGGAGGCGGTCGGTCCAAAGAGGGGGGTCCTCGATTTGCCTTCCCCCCCCATCGGGGGCCAAGATCCTCATGGGGAGCGTCAGACATGGGCCCTCCCGGGGGCCGCAAAAGGGAGCCTCCGACGCCTCGCGGCCCCTCCCCGAAAACCTCAGGGAGGGGAGGGGGCGGGTCCTCCTCCCCGAAGGGAAGAGGAGCTGTGGAAGAGGAAAAGAGACTCCACCTGTCGCCCAAAGGGCTGATGGGATAACGGAAGAGAGAGAGAGAGAGAGAGAAGGGAAGAGAAAGAGAGAGTCTTGGGGTTCTCTTGGGGTCTTGATGGGGCTCTTTCGGGACAGCTCTTGTCTTGGGGCAGCGCGGAAGAGGAGGAGGACGAAGAGGAAGGGGAGGAGGCAGACGAGGAGAAACCCGACCAGGGCACGAACGAGGATGAGGACGAGGACGAGGAGGAGAAGGACGAGTAGGATGAGGACGAGGAGGAGGAGGAGGAGGAGGATGAGGAGGAGGAGGAGGAGGAGGATGAGGAGAGCAGCAGGGGGAGGAGGACGACGAAACCGGAGACAAGGACGAGGACGATGACAAGGAAAGCGGAGACGAGGAGGAGGGGGGAGGAGGAGGACAACGAGGCCGAGAATTCTTGGAGCCATTTTGGAATCCTATGGGTCCTCTGGAGGTGCTCTTTGGTTTGTCTTGGGGCCCTCTCGGGGCCCTTGTGGAAGGTTCTGGGGTCCTCATGGGGCTCTTTCGATGTGTTTGGGGGGCCTTTGGGGAGCCCTGGAGGACCTCCTTGGGCCATCTTGCGATGCGTCGATCAAACGAGGGGAGGGGTTCCGGATTCGCCTCCCCCGTCAGTAACGCTCAAGTTTTTTTGAGTACCATTTTGAAGCATCGGGGGGCTTCTGAAACCGGCGTGAGCGCTCTAATCCCTCCGTCTGGGTACCGAAAGCCCACATGGACAGTGAGGGAGAGGGGCCGTCTTTCCGAATGGGAAGATGGTTTTGGAAGAGGGAAAGACGGTATCGTTAGGCACCCAGAGGGTTGTTGGGATAGCTATGTTTGTGCATCTCACATTGCCTCGTTCTGCTTTGCGGGAGGGGGAGGAGGAGAAGGAGGAGGAGGAGGAGGAGCAGGAGCAGGAGGAGGATGAGGAGGAGGAGGAGGTGGAGGAGCAGCAGGAGCAGGAGGAGGAGGAGGAGGAGGGGGAAGAGGAGCAGGAGCAGGAGCAGGAGCAGGAGGAGAGGAGGAGGAGGAGGAGGAGGAGGAGGAGGAGGGGGAGGGGGGGAGCGGGAGGGGGAGGGGGGGGGAGGAGGAGGAGGAGGAGGAGGAGGAGGAGGAGGAGGAGGAGGAGGAGGAGGAGGAAGGAGGAGGGGAGGGGGAGGAGGAGGGGGGGAGGAGGCCAAGCTAGGTGCGCTCGCGTCATATCTGACGTCCTACCCCTCCCTCCCATCCCTTACCATGGCGCTGATTTTCTCTATCCGCGGACGCGTGTCGTAGCGGACCTGTGGCTCCGCGCGCGCGTGCGTAGTGGGTGGTGGTGCACGTGCGTGCGTGCGTGCGTGTGTGCGTGGTTGTCGTGGTGGTGGTGGTGGTGGTGGTGGTGGTGGTGTGGTGGTGGTGGTGGTGGTGGTGGTGGTGGTGGTGGTGGTGGTGGTGGTGCTGGTGGTGGTGGTGGTGCTGGTGGTGGTGGTGTTGGTGGTGCTGGTGGGTGGTGGTTGGTGGTGGTGGTGGTGGTGGTGGTGGTGGTGGTGGTGGTGGTGGTGGTGGGTGGGTGGTGGTGGTGGTGGTGGTGCGGCGGTGCGGTGGTGGCGGGCGGATGGGCGCGCGAGAAAAAGGCCCGCGCTGGGGCGAGAACGCCATCCTGAACGACGGAGGCCAAGCACCGATCCGAAAATGAGGCCCACGCTGCAGCGGGAGCACGATTCGGAACGATTCGGGAGCAGAAATGAGGCCGGCGCCTCAACGAGATCAGCATTTTGGGAAACAATGACGCCGGCGCCTCAGCGAGAGTCGTTTCCCGGTATTTTCCGGGCATCCTGTGTGTAAAAAAACAGTACGCGGATGGTGCGCGGCTATCACCCGGACGCCATCAGGGGAAGAGGGAGAGTATATTCATATGGAGTAATTGTATGTAGAGCGGGAGCAGGGGGGCGGTTGGCGGTGGCCGCCGGTGCGCAGGCCTACCCGCCGACGGTGCTGAGGGACATGGCCTACGGCCCGCGCCGCCCAGGGGACGGAGGGAGGGGGACGCGGAGGGAGACGAGGGGGAAGGCGGCAGGGATGCGTCAAATTGCGGTACAGTGGGGGCGCGCACCAAGAAACCATATGCTTTTCGTTAGGGTACCCTGGGTTTCTTCTCTCCGCGAGCTGCGCGGTGCATTTCCGCAGCCGTCGAAGAGGCTGCTGCGTTAAGGGTGCTCTGAGTTTCCCCTGGGGTGCACCTCGCGCGCGGGCTTTCAGGGTTGGGTTTCTTGCGAGGGTTTCTTGCGGCCGCGCCCGCACTGTAGGTTCATGCGGCGACGGCGAGCCTGCGACGCGTGCGAAGGCGTTCTAGGTTGAATTTCGCACGGTATGGCGACGCGGAAGCATCGAGGGGGACGGTAATGCCACACGACCCGACGGAATTTAGTTTTGCACGATCGGGGCCGCGATCGATTCAAGGTTGAAGCATCGACGCGGGGTCAAAAATTTTTGCGCGCGCCGACGCCTTGCGAACCTACCGTACTTGTTGCGTCACTTGTTCCTTCGTCAGGCGATCGCAAACATGGATCAAGGGGGCTGCCGTTTCCATGGGGCCCCGTTTCCATGGGAGATCGCGGATTGTCGCCGCCGAGCGAGGCGACACCGGCCGCATTTTGGGTAGAGCACCTCACCCGATATATGGATTTGGCGACCGCGCGCCAAATCCATGAATCGCTAATCCATGTTTGTGCGCCCCCTTTTTCGGGCAAGCGCCATGCTTCTCATTCCTTTGGGTAGGAGCCGACGTCGAGTTCATCCGCCTCTTTTTTCCTGGCATGGTGAAGACACCTCGGACGATCGTCTGCAGAGCTGCAGGAAGAAGAAGAAGGGGCGAGATGAGGGAGGAGAGCGGGGGAACGGGAGGGCGGAGGGAGGGAGAAAAGGGGGAGGAGGAAGGGAATGGGGCAGGGAGGGGGAGGAGGCGGAGGAGGAGGAGGTGGAGAAGGAGGACGGGCATGGCCATTGGACCGCGCCGCCATGGGGGAGGAGGAGCGGGGGGGGGGAGGGGTCGGGGGATGCAGAGGAGAACCTAGACCTCCAATGTGGAGGCCTGGGAATTCGCCATAAAGGAGTCTGAGCTCGTTTTCGCTCTTTCTCCCTCTTTCTCTTTCTGTTTCTCGTTTTTGGATGTCTCTCTCCCTCTCTCTCTCTCTCTCTTTCTCTCTTTCTCACTCTTTGTTGTGTTGTCTTTCTCTCTCGCTCTCTCTTTTTACCACTTTCCATCGCGCTCTCTCTCTCTCTCTATATATATATCTGTATATACATATATATATATATGGATCAATATGTTTAGAAATATTCATCTGTAAATATGTATACATACATACATACATATATACATACATACATACATACATACATACATACATACATACATACATACGTACATACATACCGACATACATACATACGCACACACAGACATACATACATACTTGCACACACATACATACATACACACATATACATACATACATACATACATACATACATGCATGCATACATACATACATACATACATACATACATACATGCATACATACATACATACATACACACATACACATACATACATACATGCATGCATGCATGCATACATACCTACATACATACATACATGCACACACATACATACATACATACATGCATGCATACCTACATTCATACATACATACATACGTTCGTATGTACGTGCGTACGTACGTACACACATGCATACACACATACACATACATACATACATGCATGCATGCATGCATACATACATACATACACACACATACATACATACATACATACATGCATGCATGCATGCATACATACATACATACATACATACATACATACATACATGCACACATACATATATACACACATGCATACATACATGAATTCATGTATGCATGCATGCACACATATATGCACACATACACATATATCCATATGTACACATACATGTTTATATATATATGTGTGTGTATACATGTGTGTTTACAAGGCTGCAGTGTCGCTTCGCGCAATGCACCTTGGTCCTTGAAGCTTGGTGTGCAGGCGGAATAGCAGGAAAGTCAAACCGACAATTTAGCGAGAACTCCTGGTTGCCTTTTTCCGGCATCGCCGCTGTAATAATGTTATTCGTTATCCTTCCTCCATGCTTATTGTTCCTCAGTTTCGCTATACCCTGCGCATTCCCCCCATCCTCCTGAGCTCTTTTTTGCGGAGGCTCCTCCTTGGATAGCCTCTAGGGGCATCACAGAAGTTCTTTGAGGCTTTCTTAAGGCCTTCTGGAGGCCTTCTGGGCGTATTCTGGGGGCCTCCGGGGGCTTCCTCGGGCCACCCTGCCTCCAACCGCGGTCTCCCTGAACGACCGAATCACGATTTGGAATTCTTCGGAGGGTGTCTTTGGGCCATCTTGGGCCGCCATGGGGCTCTCTGAGGGCCATCTTGGACCCGTGTTGTGCCGTTTTGGGGCTCTCTTGGACTGCCTGGAAGCCTTTTCGGATGGTCGTGGGGCGATTTTGGAGCCTCCCAGGCGGCTTCGGACGCCCAGAAGACCGCCGTCTTGGAGCGTCGGGAAGCCGAAAAGAGGAGAACCCCCAAATTTACCAAAAACCGCAAGAAAATCATTGATTCTTGCCTCGGGGGGCCTTCTTGGGAGTGCTCTTGGAGGCCTCATTGGGGCCGTCCTGGAGGCCTCTTGGGCCATCTTGAGGTCACGTCGGTCACTCTTGGAGCTCTCTTGTGCTGCGTTGGGGGTCTCTGGGACCTCTCCGATGACCCCCCTGATCGCCCTAGGTGTGCTGGGAAGGCTTGGCAAAGCGCCCTGCGAGGCCCGGTGGCCGCTTCGAGGCCCGTCCGGAGGGTCCCAAAGCCCCAGATCCCGGGAGTCCGGTTTTGGGGGGGGGGGACGGGTTTTCCCCCCGCCCGGGCTTATAGAAATATAGGAAGAGGAATATCCCGGGGGACGAGGCCCGGGGGCCCGGGACCGCGACCTCGACGGGGCATGGGGGTACCGGGCTTCGTTTTCCCTGTGTTCCGTACGGGGTTTCGGCGACCCGGGGCCAACAGGGCCCCAAGAGGCTGCAGGGAGGCCCCAGGAGGCCGCAGCGATGGCTCCAGACGCCTTTCAAGACGACTCCCATGACGCCAACAAGGCCCCCGAAGGCCCCGAAGACGCCCCAAGAGACACCCCGAGAGGCCCAATAAAGAAACATCGTAGATTTCCGGTGGGACAATATATATTTTTGGCGTGTTTGCCTTTTGGGCGTCCACTGCATGCAAGGCGGCCCAAGAGGCACCCAAGTCGGTCGAGCATGCCCCCAAGAGGGTCCCAAGATGGCCCACGAGGGGGCCAAGACGGCCCACGAGGCGCCCCAACCGCCCAAGAACGACGCAAGGCGGCGCCCAAGACGGGGACGAAGAACCGGAAATTCGGGCCCTTTGGCCCAAGAGATCCCCAGGAGACCCCAAGAGGCTCCAAGAAGGGGCCCAGAAGCCCCAAGAGGTCCCCATGAGCCCCGAAAAAACAACAAAAGAGGCTCCAAAGACGCCCCAAGAGGCATCCCGAGAGTGGCCCAATAAGGAAAAATCGTCGATTTCTTATAAACTGATATGTTTGGCGTGTTTGCCTTTTGGGCGTCCACTGCATACAAGACGGACCACAAAGGCACCCAAGCCGGTCGAGGATGCCCCCAAGAGGGCCCCACGACGGCCCACGAGGGGGTCAAGACGGTCCACGAGACGCCTAAACCGCCCAAGAACGCGCCCCGGGAGCCCAAGAGGCCTTTCCGGGGAGCCTCCACAGCGCCCCAGGAGGGCCCAAGACGCCTCCCAGGAGCACCCAGAATGCGAAAGGATGGTCCAAGACGTTCCCACGCAGCCCAAGTCAGCCTTTGGACGGCTCTCGAGGCTCCCAGGTGGCCTCCAAGAGACCCCAAGAGAGGTCCGAGAGGCCTCCCGGGACGGCCCGAAGAGGCCCACATCGTCGATTTCCAGCTGTTTTTTTCAATGTTTTTGGCTTCTCGCGTTTTCGAGCTTCCAATGGTCCAAGGGCGCCGAAGAGACTCCCAAGACCGCCCCAAGGCCACCCAAGAGACCCTCAGGACGGCCCCGAGACGAGCCAAGAAGTCTCCAAGACTGCCGAAGAGGCGCCCAGGACAGCCCCAGACTACCCCAGAACAGGCCCAAAATGGGCCCCAGAGCGGGAGCAGGAGGCTTCCAGTGACCTCCGAGAGGCCTCTGGACCCCCCAGAGGCCCCTAACGCACATCCCCGATCCTTGAGAGGCCCTGAAAAGACCCCGACGAGGCTCCAAGAACAGCCCAAGAGAGCTGCGAGAGCCGTCCCGAGAGAGCCCAAAGAGGGTAAAATCGTTGATTTCTTATGGTGTTGTTTCTGATGTTTTTCGCATTCTGACGTTTTCCCGTTTCCAACCCTCGAAGATAGAGGACTTTCTATGGAACAAAAAGGAATTACAAGAATTCTTATTTGTTTCAAAGAGATCCCGCACATCCCCTTACATCTGGCCGGTACCGCGCCTCCCGGCTTCCCGGGGGGCCTCCAGGAGGCCTCCAGAACCCCCACGGGGTCCGGAAGATCCCACACCCCTGAGGGGCCCGGCTAACAAAACCCGCGGGCACAAACACAAATCAGCCCCGAACAGCGCCGAGGAATTTGAAAAACATAGAAATCCCTCAATTCCTTATCTTTCTTGTGTTTTTCAAGTTTGCCCCCCGGCCACCATAAGTTGGAGGGGGGAAGGGGGGAAGTTGGAGAGGAAGAGGTGGATGAGAAGGAGGAGGAAGAAGAGGATGAGGAGGAGAGGGGGAGGAGGACGAGGAGGAGCAGGAGGAGGAAGAGCAGGAGGCGGAGGAGAACCCCCTCCCTCACCTACTTGTGGTGGTGGCGGTGGAAATCAAGCCCACCAGAAATGTCTCTGCGACTGCGCAGGTTGCGCCGATTCCGGTCGGCCACGGCCGGCGTCGACGAGGCTGGCACGACCAGGCAGGTCCACCGCGCGGGCGCGGTGCTGGCGGCCTGCCATGGCGCCGGGGCAGCAGTCTTCGAGGACGGCGAGGGGGTCGAGTTGGGGGCGGCCCACGCTCGCGGCCAGCCGCCAGCGCACGGCGGCACCTCCATCTTTGCGAAGCCGCCCATCGGTCGTTGAAAGTGGGCGCTTCTGGTTCCAATCTACCTTCAGCGCCCTCCTGCTTCCATGATCGAGCAGCTTCACCTGTCCGAGCGAACACTCCATCTGCTTTCAACGCCTTCCTACTTCGTGATTCCACTTACTTCTTCCGACCGACTGGCAGTGCTGCTGGGCGATTGGGCAGGCAAGCTCGCCGTGGCTCCCGCCCGGCAAGAGCGCCGCATGCTCTGGGGCGCCATCGCCAGCGAATGCGCGACGACGTCGGTCGCGCGCCTCGCGCAACTGCGGGGCGCGGTGACGACCGGTCTAGGAGGCAGGCGGGCCGAGCCACAGGGCCCCCTGCAGCTGTGCGCGACGCGCAGGATGGCGGATGCAGACGGCTACGAGGTGGACAGATCACCGTGATTGTTGGGTTCTCGTGGGAGACCAGCCGCCCAGTCTGCTCAGCCAGTTGATGCAGGCGTGGATCCAGCGACAGCATGAGCTAGCCCTCGCAGCGAAGGCTGGCGACGGTGCTGACCCCCCGCCCGTGCCCCTTCGCGCCTCTCTCGACTTTGTAGAAAACGTGTTCGCCCCGCGTAATCGCTGGGGCAGCAAGCGCCAACAACTCATGATTGCTTTGTGCTCGCGCCGCGGGCTGTGGACCAGGTCTCGAGCCCGCCGAGCGAGGTATATCACTGATGGCCTGCGTGAGTGTCGGCAGCCAGACGATGCGAATCATAGGTTGTTCGATGGCCAGCTTCCACAGCGAGAGAAGCCACAGACATTCCAACCTCATTTTCGGGAAGAGGGTCCAGCAGCGTGGACCGGGTTTTCACAGAGTTTGCTCCTCCATGGTGAAAGGTGAATTTGCCCGACAGCACCGCTCTTTTTTTGGAGCTAGCCACATATGGCTCGTGCACAAAGCCAGCCGTTCGCGAGCTCGTGGCTGAGAACATAGCGGTGCGCGTGGTTGGTAAGATTGTCTATCGAGCTTGTTTGGCATGAGTACATTGCGCGAGTGCGATGCGACAGTTCGAGCCCCCGTAGCTCGCCAGTTGCGGGCCACTAGCCGGGTAGCAGGTATCAAACAGTTTGCCCTGTCGCTTTCGGCCGTCAGCACGTCGCAGCACAGCCTGCAAAAGCCCACCGCAGCGCCGAGACAATCGATGCCTTGGACGAGGCGGAGCGACGGCTTGCCCTCGCGAGTGCCGATCGTGCTGCCAAGGCTGCGATCTGCCTTTGTCCCCTCTCCCGATCCGTCCTTCCTCCACGCTGCTGCTCACGCGGAGGAGAAAGCACTGCTGTGTGCCGAGCTGGCTGCCGCCGTCCTTTTCCCTTGTTCGAGGCCGCGAGCCGTGTTGCGCGATGGCGGCGGCTGCGACGGCGATCAAGGGAAGGAGGAGGCAGGTGTTTCAGACGGGGTGGCCCGACTGGGGCTAGGGTTAATCCGTCGAAGAAGGAAGAAAATACATGAACATACACTTTTGGTGCTCCGCGCGGATTTCTTGGATCTGCGCTGGGGCCCCCTGGCGGCGCCTCTGGCGCCGCCCCTGGCGCGCTCCGCGCGCCAGGGAGGGGGCCAGCGCGAATCCAAAAAATCAGCGCGGAGCGCCAAACGTTTATTTTTATATGTTTTTTTGTTGTTTTATCTTCTGCTAGTTCATTCGGGTGGCCGTGCCCCTCTGCTGTTGTGTGGGCCCTGAGGTTGGGAACCTTCCCCCTGCCGGGGTGCTGTGGGCCCGCGAGGCCTGCGCGAGGACCGGTTATGCGCGTAGTGGCAGTTTCTTGGGCCCGTCTGGCCTCGGCCCGAGAGACGGCCCAAAGGACGCAGGTTCCGTGCCTGAGGTGAGGAATTTGAGGCTGAAAGATGTCCATCAAAGTTTCGCGCCAGTGCTGCTCTCCGACGCGCGCGGGCGGCGATGTCCCTTCGCTCTTTCGTCGCGGCCTTGCGCCGAACCAGCGAGTGCGAACTGTCCTCGGTGCTGCAGTGCCTGCGGCGGCGAGGGTTGAGATCGATCCCACGTCCCGACGCCAGGCCCAGCAGGTCGAGGTCATCCGTGCTGTTGTAGCCGCGGCTGAACCGCGTCCGTGCGATCAGCGCACGGCTGCGCTGTTTGAGCGAATTCGCCGGCGCAAGCTCGCTCGAACGGGATCCTGAGCAGCTGCCGGTGGCCGGTGGTAGTGGGCCGTGGGGGCCCTTGGCTGGCCCTAACCGCGTGCCGTTTCGGGTTTTCGCCTCGGCGGGCTTGGTGGCCATTCTAGAGACGCTTGTCTAAAGGCTCCAAAACCCTTGGCTCAAGGGCTTCAGAGCCCCAGAATGTGCGACAGGTGCTGCTTGCATTCTACATACCCTGGTTTCTGCTAACAATTTCCCAGGTACCGTCTTATAGTGTCCTCATCCTCCTCGCCTCTTCCCTCTTCTTCCCCCTCCCTGCTCCTCCTCCCGCCTAATCCTCGACCCCCTTCCCTCTCACTGGGGCTCGGGGTCCTCGCCTTCCTCCCAGAGAGCGCCGCCAGCCGCCGCAGGCTGCTCCAGGTGCGTCATATACAGCGCCGTCGCCTTAGCGCTGCCGTCGCCATTGGAGCCGGCGGAGATTCGGGAGAGGCGGACGACAAACATTTAAACGACAACGGAATAGAAAACTACGCGCGGCATGGCACAGCAAGTTCTCCACAGTCTGGGCGCCAGGCGCGCGCGGCACGGCACGGCATTTCTTTTGCGCATTTTTGACGCAGCGAGGCGGCGGACGGCACTGGACGGCACACGGCATGGATGCTTCTTTTGCAGCACTTTGGAAGCCCGGCACGGCACTCCCCAGCACGGTCGGTTTGTCGCATTCTGGAAGCCCGTCAAGGCATTGCACGGCACGGCAGATTTCCAGTGGGATCCCAGCAAGGTGGGGCGTACATCACGTTACGGCACGGCGGGTTGCTTCGCATCCTGGAAGGATGGCACGGTGCTGCGTGGCACTGCCAGTTTTTGGCATCCTGGAATCCCGGAAGCCAGGGAGGGCATAGCACGCCAGAGCTTCGGTATCTTGGAATCCCCGCACGGCACGTCATGGTACGGCAGCCTGTTGCGCATACTGGCAGCCCGGCACAACAAAGGGTGGCACGGCAAGTTCGCCTCCGCATTCCCAGACGGCGCTGGCGCGGATGGTGGTGTGACCTGGGGGGGGAGGAGGGGGGGAAGGGGGGGCGGGCGGGACCGGTCTCGGCCGTAGTCGCGAATTCCAAGGGGTTTCTATTGTTCTGGACGGGATGCTGACCGCCACTTCCCCCGGCGGAGGGTGGGACGCTCTGGGGAATTTCTGAGAGCGTGCCTCGAAGACGAACAAGCTGCATACGTACTGCACAGATTTGAGGAGTTACGCGCTGCTCTGAGGTCTTGCCCCCGCCGATGCAAGCGACCCGCGCGGACATCCAGAACATTGTGCCGCTTATGCCAATGCTTGTCACTCTTCTCTCAAGTCGGGCCTGTTCCTCTACAGGAAGAATGTCCAGAAGTAGTCAAAACATACCCTGGGGACGATTTTGGGAATATTTCCGAACCATCCTGTGGTGTTGCGTCATCGTTTTAGAAAAAGCAGCGCCCCGCGCCCCTCCTTCCTTCCTCCGCCCTCCTCCCATTCCCGTCCCCACCCCCACTTCGACACGCCCCTCACACGTTTCGTGGCCCCGTAGGGGGCCCCACCGATGGCCCCAATTCCAGCGTTCGCATGCGCCCACCGCACCCATCTTGGCGAGCGTTTCTCACGTTTCGTGGCCCCACAAGGATTCCGACCGAGAGGCCAAAATGCCAGCGTGCGCATGCGCCCACTGCGCCCTTTTTGGGACACCCCGCACACAATTCGTGGCCCCATAGGGAGCCCCGCCGAAGGCCAAACTGCCAGCATTCGCACGCGCCCACCGCACCCATGTTGGCACGCGCCTCACACGTTTCGGGGCCTCGTGGGGAGCCCCACCGAAGGCCCAAAAGCCAGCGTTCGCATGCGCCCACTGCACCCATGTTGGCACGCCCCTCGCACGCTTCGGGGCCCCATGGGGAACCCCACCGAAGGCGCAAATTCCAGCGTTCGCATGCGCCCACCGCGCCCATTTTGGCACCCCCCCACACGTTTCGTGGCGTTATAGGGGGCCCCACCGAAGGCCCAAATGCCAGCGTTCGCACGCGCCCTCCGCATCTCCACACAGAGCCCCATCGAACGCCCAAGTGCCAGCGTTCGCATGCGCCCACCGCACTCATTGTTGGCACACACACACACACCCCTCCAACGCTTCGTGGTCTCATAGGGAGCCCCGCCGGAGCCCCGCCCGCCGCGCCCATTTTGGCACGCGCCTCAAACGCTTCGTGGCCCCGGGGGTCCCACCGAAGGCCCAAATGCCAGCGTTCGCATGCGCCCACCGCACCCATTGTGGCACACCCTTCACGTGTTCCGCGGCCCCACAGCGAGCCCCACCGATGGCCCAAATGCTAGCGTTCGCACGCGCCCACCGCGCCCATTTTGGCACACCACTTCACACGTTTCGTGGCCCCATATGCCATAGGGAGCCCTACCGAAGGCCCAAATGCCAGCGTGCGCACGCGCCCTCCGCACCCATTTTGGCATGCCCATCACACGTCTCTTGGCTTCACAGGGAGCGCCACCGAAACCCCAAATGCCAGCGTCCGCGTGCGGTCTGGCACACCCCTCACACGTTTCGTGGCCCCGTAGGGTGCCCCACCGAAGGCCCAAATGCTAGCGTTCGCATGCGCCCACAGCACCCATTTTGGCACGCCCCTCGCGCGTTCCGTGGCACCACAGCGAGACCCACCGATGGCCCAAATGTCAGCGTTCGCATGCGCCCACCGCAACCATTTTGGCACACCCCTCACACGCTTCGTGGCCCCATAGGGAGCCCCACCGAAGGCCCAAATGCCAGCGTTCGCGCGCGCCCACCGCACCCATTTGTTGATGCGCTCTCCATCTATTTCGGGGCCCCATAGGGAGCCCCGCCGAAGGCTCAACTGCCAAAGCTCGCATGCGCCCAGCCCGCCCATTGTGGCGCGCTCCGTGGGCCCACAAGGAGCCCCACCGAAGGCCCAAATGCCAGCGTTCGCATACGCCCACCGCAGCCATTTTGTCACACTCCCCACACGTGTCCTGGCGCCACAGAGAACCAACCCCACACAAGGCCCAGACGACAGCGCTCGCATGCGCCCACAGCACCAATTTTGGCACACCGTTCGCACGTTTTGTGACCCTACAGGGAGCCCCACCGATGGCCCAAATGCCAGCGTTCGCATGCGCCCACCGCTGACATTATTTGGCACACCGCGCCCATTTTGGCACGAGCTCCATCGTATGCGGTGCATACAACGGCTATGCCCACATTTGCATATGGTTGGGTTATTTGCCAGGCTAAGTTGATTTTCCCCCCAACCCAGCCTGTGGTGTTGGGTCTTCGATTTGAAGAGACAGCGCCACGCGTTCCTCCTTCCTTCCTCCTCCCTCGTCCTTCTCCCGTCCACACCCCCACTTCGGCACGCCCCTCACATGCTTCGTGGCCCCATATGATACCCCACCGAAGGCCCGAATGCCAGCGTTCGCATGCGACCACCGCACCCATTTTGGCACGCCCCTTACACGTGCCGTGGCCCCACAGGGAGCCCCACCGACGACCCGAATGCCAGCGTTCGCACGCGCCCACTGCACCTATGCCACACCCCTCACACGTTTGGTCGCCCCCACAGGGAGCCCCACCGATGGCCCAAATGTCAGTGTTTGCATGCACCCGCCGCACCCATTTTGGCACGCGCCTCACACGTTTCGTGGCCCCACAGGGAGCCGCACCGAAGGCCCAATTGCCAGCGTTCGCATGCGCCTACCGCAGCCATTTTCGGCACACGCACACACACACACACACACACACACACACACACACACACACACTCCACACGTTTCGTGGCCCCACATGGGCGCCCCACCGAAGGCCCAAATGCCAGCGTTCGCGTGCGCCCACCGCACCCATTTTGGCACACCCCTCACACGTTCCGTGGCCCCATAGGGAACCCCACCGAAGGCCCAAATGCCAGCGTTTTCATGTGCCATCCGCACCCATTTTGGCACGCCCATTCCCCACTTTCGTGCCTCACAGGAGGCCCTGCCGACTGCCCGCATGCCACCGTTCGCATTCGCCCACTACGCCCATCTTGGCACGCCCCTCTCACGCGTCGTGGCTCAATACGGAGCCCCACTGAAAACCCAAATGCCAGCGTCCGCATGCGCCCACCGCGTTTAGTTTGTTTGGCGCACCCTTCACACGTTTCGTGGCCCAACAGGGCGCCCCACCGAAGGCCCAAATGCAAGCGTTCGCATGAGCCCACCGCGCCCTTTTTGGCACACCTGGCTTACGCTTCGTGGCCCCACAGGGAGCCCCTTCCGAAGGCCCACATGCCAGCGCTCGCATGCGCCCACCGCACCCATGTTGGCACACCTCTCACATGTCGTGGTCGTATAAGGAGCCCCACCGAATACGCACATGCCAGCGTTCGCCTGCGCCCACCGCGTCCAGTTTAGCACACCCTTCACGCGTTTCGTGGCCCCGCGGGCAGCCCTACTGAGAGCCCAAGTGCAAGCGTTTGCGTGCGCCCACCGCGCCCATTTTGGCACGCCCCTCGCACGCGTCCAGGCTCCATAGGGAGCCCCACTGAAGGCCCAAATGCCAGCGTTCGCACGCGCCCACCGCACCCGTTCTGGCGCACCCCTCACACGCTGCGTGGCCCCAGGGCCCCATAGGAAGCCCCACCGAAAGCCTAATTGCCAGCGTTCGCGTGCGCCCACCGCGTTGATTATGGAACACCCTCAGTCGCACCGCGACTTCATAGAGAGCTCCACCAAATGCGGTGCACACAACGGGTGTACCTACAACTTTCTATGGATGGGTTCCTCGCCAGGTGGATTCCCAATCATCCTGTGGTGTCGGGTCCTCGTTCTGCAGGGACGGTCCCCGCCTCTCCTCCTCCTCCCCCTGTTCCCTCCTTCCCCTCGTCCCCCCCTACGCCTATGCCCTTCCCCTCGTCGTCCTTGTTCTGGCACGCCCCTCACACGCTTCGTGGCCCCACAGGGAGCCCCGCCGAAGGCCCAAGTGTCAGCGTCCGCATGCGCCCACCGCACCCATTTTGGCACACCCCTCACACGTTTCGTGGCCCCACAGGGAGCCCCACCGAAGGCCCAACTGCCAGCGTTCGCATGCGCCCTCCGCACCCATTTTGACACACCCCTCACACGCTTCGGAGCTCCACAGGGAGCCATTTCGGAAGGCCCACATGCCAGCGTTCGCATGCGCCCACCGCACCCATTTGGCGAGCCGTTTCGTGGCCCCACAAAAATCTCCACCGAAAGCCCAAGTGCCAGCGTTCGCCCACCGCACCCATGTTGGCACGCCCCTCACAAGTTACGGGGCCCAATAGGGAGCCCCACCGAAGACGCAAATGCCAGCGTTCGCACGCGCCCACCGCGCCCATTTTGGCACACCATTCACACGCTCCGTGGCCCCATAGGGAACCCCACCGGAGGCCCAGCTGACAACGTTCGCATGTGCCCACCGCCCCCATTACGGCACACCCCTTACACGTTTCGTGGCCCCACAGGGAGCCCCACCGAAAGCCCACATGCCAGCGTTCGCATGCGCGCACTGTGCCCATTCTGGCACGTTCCTCACCCATTCTGGCACACCCGTCCACGTTTGGTAGCCCCATACAAAGCTCCACCGAATACGGTGCATACAACGACGGTGCCCACAATTGCAGATGGTTGGGCCCTCGTTTCAACATTTTCAAACCATCCCGTGGTGTTGGGTCCTCGTTTTGAAGAGTCAGTGCCGAGCGATCTTATCCTTCATTCCTCCTCCCATTCCTCCCTCCCCTTCCTCCTCCGATCCCTGCCTGTGCCCTCCGAACCGGTCATCCATTCTGGCACGCCCCTTACACGTTTCGTGGCCCCACAGGGAGCCCCACCGAAGGCCCACATGCCAGCGTTCGCATGCGCACACCGCGCCCATTTCGGCACGCTCCTCACACGCTTCGCCCCACCGAAGGCCCAAGCGTCAGCGTTCGCATGCGCCCGCCGCACCCATGTTGGCATAACTTTCTCACGTTGCGGGGCCCCATAGGTAGCCTCACCGAAGGCCACATGCCAGCGTTAGCATGCGCCCACCGCGCCCACTACGGCACACCCATTACACGTTTCGTGGCCCCACTGGAAGCCCCACCGATGGCCCAAATGCCAGCGTTCGCATGCGGCCACCGCGCCCATTTTGGCACGCCCCTCACACGCTTCGTGGCCCATAGTGAGCCCCACCGAAGGCCCAAATGCCAGCGTTCACATTCGCCTACCGACCGATTTTGGCACGCCCCTCACACGCTTCGTGGCCCCACAGGGAGCCCCACCGAAGGCCCAAATGCCAGCGTTCGCATGCGCCCTCCGCACCCATTTTGACACACCCCTCACACGCTTCGGAGCTCCACAGGGAGCCATTTCGGAAGGCCCACATGCCAGCGTTCGCATGCGCCCACGGCACACCGCGCCCATTTTGACACGCTCCTCACACGTTTCGTGTCCCCATTGGGAGCCCCACAGAAGGCCCAAATGCCAGCGTTCGCACGCGCCCACCGCACCTGTTTTTGACACACCCTTCACGATTCGAGGCCCCACAGGGAGCCCCACCGAAGGCCCAAATGCCAGCGTTCGCATGCGCCCACCGCGCCCATTTTGGCACACCCCTCACACGATTCGAGGCCCCACAGGGAGCCCCACCGAAGGCCCAAATGCCAGCGTTCGCATGCGCCCACCGCGCCCATTTTGGCACACCCCTCACACGTTCCGTGGCCCCACAGGGAGTCCCACCGAAGGCCCAAATGCCAGCGTTCGCATGCGCCCACCTCACAATTGTGTCACGCCCCTCACACGTTTCGAGGTCCCACAGGGAGCCCTACCGAAGGCCCACATGCCAGCGTTCGCATGCGCCCACCGCGCCCATTTGGGCACGCCCCTCACACGTTTGGTAGCCCCATGGGGAGCTCCATCGAATGCGGTGCATACAACGACGGTCTCCACAACTGCAGATGTTTGGGTTGTTTGCCAGGCTAATTTTCTTTTTTTGTTTAAAACCCGCCTGTAGGAGGACGTGCCCGACCTAACTCCACTCTGGTCGAGCTCCCCGCGCTCCGAGGCCCTCGCGAGGCACCTCACGACGGACTCCACAAGCGTGGTCGTCACGGCGGGGAGGGCGGACGAGCGCGCGGCGCGCGCGCGCGGGCCGCTGCGCGCTGCTGGTCGATGCCGCCGCCATCCGCCCCGTGCAGGGGTCCTGCACTGCCCTGGCAGGGCTCATTCCGATTCCTCCGATTCGATTCGGTTCGATTTCGATGGCTTCCGAACCGGATTCGTTTCGGCTTCGGATTCCGATTTGGATTCCGATTCCTCAATGGAGGCTAGCCTGCCGACGTCTGCCGATTCGACTTTTCCCGACTCGGCTGCCGATTTCCGCCGATCCGATTCATTTCGATCGCCGATCCGACTTCTCGAGTCGATTCTGGGCTCTCCTGCCTTGGGAGAGCAGTGCTAGATCGTTGGCCTGTGCCTACTCACAAAGTTCGAAGAACAAGGGCGCCCTCGAGGGCGCAAAGTGATTCGCGCTTCGCGGTTCGGCTCCGATTCCTCCTTATCCTCCTATTCTCCCCTGGGAGGCGGCGCGAGAGCGCGAAGTTATTCGCACTTCGCGCTTCGCGCAGCGCGAAGCGCGAAGTTGGGAGCCCTTGAAGAAGAGGAAGAAGGAAACAACGCCATGAACAGAAACTTCTGGGCGCTCCGCGCAGATTTCTTGGATCCGCGCTGCGTCTCCCCCCGGCGGCGCCTCCGGCGCCGCCCCTGGCGCGCTCCACGCGCCAAGGAGGGGGGTCCAGAGCGGATCCAAGAAGTCCGCGCGGACCGCCAAAAGCTTATGGTTATGCAATTTGTTGTTGCTCCATGCTGGCAAAGTGCGTACAGTCAAACCGCATCATAGGGATGAGTCGTTCTCCAAGGGTGCCCATCCTAGCCCCTAACCCTCCGCCATGGGCCTTGGTCTTCCAACTTTGGATTTGGTTTGGGCTTCCAAGGGCCTTGCATATCCTCATGAACCGGTCGCAGTGTGCTCGCAAGGTGCTTGCTCGCAAGGTGCCTGCTCGCAAGGGCCCGCCTGCCCCGAGGCCATGGATCCAGGCCATTTGCGAGTGGCCACTTTGCGAGTGGCGGAACGCGCTTGTCTATTGTTGTCCTCACCTTCGGGTGTTCGTAGTTCTGGGATTCCAGAGACCGCTTTCGGACCCGGGACGGTCAGAAACGGACCCAGGTCCACCGAAGGCGATACCCACAACGGCGATACTCTCAGTTGCATATGGCTGGGCCCTTCGCCAAGATCATTTTGGAGGGTGGGCACAACAACGCCTCGGAATACCCAATTATCGTGTATTTCGTCGAACCAGCGGGCAGTACCAAATGTTGGCGTTCGAATTTGCTGGAGGCGTTGCATAAGCATGTGGAGGAGGGAGGAGCAGGAAAGAGGAGCAGAAGAGGGATGAGGGAGAAGAAGGAGGAGGAGGGGAATGATCGACACAGGCGTACGAATTCCGTGCATGAGCGGGTGTTCCAATGGCCAGGATGATTTGGATGGAGGGGTGGGAAACGAACATTAGGGAGGAGCAGAGGGGAGACGAGGGCGGAGAGGAGCAGGAAGAGGAGGAGTAAGATGGAAGAGCACAAGGGGAAGCGGGGTGTAGGAGGAGTTGGCGGTGGAGGGACGGACGGATGAGCAGAAGGTTGAAGATGGCGGCCGAGGAGGAGCAGGAGGAGGGAGGGGGATGGAGGAAAAGGGCGGAGGCGAAGGAGGCGGACGGGTGAGGGAGAAAGGAGCAGGGAGGAAGGAGCAGGGAGGAGCAGGAGGAGGAGGCAGAGGAGGAGGAGGAGGAGGAGGAGGAGGAGGAGGAGGAGCACGATGACACGAAGGAGGGAGGGAGGAAGGGACGTAGGATCGGGCGACGGCTGCAGAGAGGGAGCGAGGCGTTCCTCTTCGGCGTCGCGACCTGGCTGGCCTGCGTCTTCTCCTCGCCGCTCAACGAGTGGTGCGCTCTGCGGCGGACATCCTTCCCTTCAGCCCAGCTCTCCTGCGACGGGTCAGCCATTTACTGCATGCTGCACTTTCGCGTGGCACGCAGCCCCCCATCGTCGAGTGTGAAAAGTCCTGCTCTCCCTGCCAGGCGGAGCGGAGGGCATGGGGGAGGGGGGGGCACGTCAGTTGTTGCATGCAGGCGGTGTCGGCCCCGCCGTCGGGCGCCTTCCCTCGATGCTGCACTCGGGCGCCCCCCGCTGCCTGGGAGGCGTCGGGAAGACCAGCCACTCGTGAACCCCCTTTGGCTACCCCCACTTGGCTAACCCTCCCCTGCTGCTTCCCGCTTCCTCCGTTTGGGTCTCCTCGGGGATGGGCTCCTTGGCGCTCCTTGGCGCTTCCTTGCATTCCTGGGTCTTCTGAATGCTTCCAGGGATGGGCTTCCCATGTGCGCTCTTACACTCCATGGCTTCTGACAGTCCATGGGTTTTTGCTCTCTTGCATTCCATGGGCTTACGGGGGACTCCTGGAGACCTTTCAGGGCTTCTGTGGGCCTCCGAAGACTGCCTCCTTCTGATAGCTCCATAGACGAGGGCGGTCGTGCCACGATGGACGCAGCCCCTCCCCCGCACACGGTCGGGTGGGAGGCGAGCTTGAAAATGGCAAGCTGGCGGCTGGACGAGTGAGGGGGTCACCCCGAGGACAGCGGCGGGGTGGAGAGGAGGGAAGGGAGGGAGGACCGAAGGGCAGCGCGCAAGCAGGGAAGGCGCCACCCCTGCCGCAGAAGCCCCCCGCCTGTCCTCTTCCGGAGTGGGGGGTGGTTCAGCGAGAGTGGAGGACACTCTGGAAACCTCGAGGGGCCCAGTCATGTCCAGACGCTTCCAAGTCTTTGATCCTGGCATCCTCGTCGTCCTGGTCCTCGTCGTCGTCGCCGATCGTCCTCGTCCTCCTCGTCCCCGTCGTCTCGTCGCCGTTGTCGTTGTCCTCAACGTTGTCATCGTCATACTCTCACGGGTGAGAGACATCTCCGCATCCATGGCCTCGCGGCCTGGACCCCTGGGCCGCGACCCCCGCGGACGAGGGGTGTTTCCATCGCGGATGCCCCGCGGGGAACGTATCCGTGCGACCGAGTATTCGCGGGATCGCGCCCCAGAATCCAGGCCACGAGGGCGCGGATATGGTCGGTTCACGCGGCGTTGGCGCGCCGGCGACGTTGGCGAGGGCGTTCAAGGTTGAATTCTGTGACGCGGAAGCACCGATGGACAGTGACGCCACTGGACCCGTCCGAATGAAACTTGCAACGGTCGGGGCCGCGATCGATTCAAGGTTGAACGATCGACGCGATGTCAAAAACTTGTGCACGCGCCGACGCAGCACGAACCTGCCGAATGGATGCTTTCACCGCTCGTGATCGTCGTCGGTGTCGTCGTTTTCGTCGCCGACGAGCGGATGTCGGGCGGGCGGGGTCGTCGCTGGCGAGCAAGCGTCGGAAGAACGCTGCGGCGGGGTGAGGGAGTGCGCGCGGCGAGGCGCGGCTACTGGGTGCAGCCGCCCAACGCCAAAGTACCCTTGGGTCAGTTTTTCAAGCAGGAGTTCCTCCGGCCTCGCTCTCGTGTCCTCTCTCTCCCTCTATTTGATTATCTCTTTCTTGAATAAGAAGAAGATTTGGTTCATCAACATGAGCTTCCGAAGAATAATACTTTCAACTGCACCAACACTGATGTGGTACTCTTTCTTTTTCTCTCTCGACGAAGAAGAAGAAAGATGATATGAAACAATTTCGTAGACATGAACTGCGCCGGCGCGGAGCGCGCCAGGGACGGCGCCGGAGGCGCCACCATGGGGCCCACCGCCGATACAAGACATCTGCGCGGACCGTAGACAAATTATATGCGTGCAGTTGTATCTTCAGTTATTCACACACGCGCTCTCTTCCTCTTTCTTCCCCGCCCTCTCCCTGCCCTGTCGTCGTCGTCGCCCACCTCCGAATGCAGGATGGTGATTTAGAAATTACCGGGGGTCGTGTTCACGCGGCCGCGCCCTGGATGATGATTACAAGAACGGGACCCAGGCCAGGAACATTTTTGGAGATCGTTCTCTCCCGACCTCTTCGGACGCGCGCCTGGACAGTCGACGGGCCGATATTTTTCTTCGTCGTCGTCTTACACTAGCCATGCCCAAGCGAATTGTCGCGAGGAGGGGGATAGATAAGCATGAAGTGGAACAGCTGCATTAATAATGGCGAACTTTGACATCTCGGGGGGGCCTGTTGAAAACATCTTGGAATTATCTTGGGGTCCCCTCGGGAACATTTGCGGCAATCGTGGGGTCCATTTCGGGGCCTTGCGGGCCCCTTGGGCCATTTTGGCGGCACATCTGTTCAATTCCGGCGCCTCGCTTCGCAGCCCGACAAAATCGCATGTCGGCGCCTTCTTGAGGCGGTCTCGGGCGTTTTGGGTACCGTATTGGAGTTCTGGGCGATGTTGGAGCCATCTTGAGACTTCAGAAGTCCATCGGAAGCGAATCGGCAATGATATCAAGATCACCGTAACAATTGGCGTTTTCGAACCTTTGATCGTCGGTCGTTCAGTGCTGCTTGCGTCGTGTTATCACCCATCCGCTTACCATCCCAGGCGCTTTGCTCAATATTTTTTATCACTTTTTCAGAAAAGGTGGTAAGCGTGACTGATCTGGGAATGCGCTCTGCGCCCCGGCCGTCGGAAGAGAAACGAGGCGCTTAATGATTTCGCTCGCGCCGACGCAGTGTCGCCGATCAACACGATGGGATAGATCATGCACAAGGTCCTTCCTAAGAGACCCGCAGAGCTGGGAGAAGATGGCGAGAGAGCATCACATTGGTCAGGCCGTTGACCAGATTGTGAAGAACATCTAGCCGAAGACGCGTTTTCGCCCGAAAGTCCGGAGACAATTGAAAGACCGCATGATCACGTCTCTATATTGGGCCATCCGGCCCTTCCCATCGCAGCTGCAATGCGGTTGGCAGTCGGAGCGCAATGCCAGATGAGAGCTTGGACGACCTCGCAAGTGTGATCCTCCGAGAAGAGAGCGTCGGGGAGCCCCGCCAAAGCTCTCCCCCAAAGGAAGAAAGTCGCGACGCATACTTGAAACCGAACAGTGAACCAGAACAGTGAACGAGAGCCCCCGCGGTGGCGTGATCACGATTCGCGAGGATCTTCACTCCCCGGTCAATGCCAGGCGAACCGAGCAAGAATGGCACCGCGACCGCGTCGCTCCCGAGGACAAGGGCGACCGTGCGAAGGCGATTTTTTGCGACGCATGGGCGCACCGAGGGGCTCATGTCACCGCATATTGGACCGACCTCATGGAGGGAGGTCCGGCTGGGATCGGCTATCCCAATCCGCGCGTTGGAGATATCCAAAAGGATGAGGGAGAAGAGGATCCAGCCCAAGTCGCCACTTGGCGAGGACCATGAATCCCCATCCCGCGCGAAGGAAGACGACGACGTAGAGACCGACCGACGGGCAAACTTTCGGTCAAGGCGATGTTTCTGGCAGCCCGCGCGTTCGGGCCCCGCCATGTTCGGAAGGGCCCACGGGGCCAGCGAAGAGTCATCGCGAGGCTGCTGCTCGGGATGCCCCGGGGGGCGCGCTTCCCGATGTAATCGAATTCGGACAACCATCCGTCTTCGGCGGCACAATTTGCGGAACGCCCTGCACTGCGACCTCGTGCGCGTGAACCCCCGTCGGGCATGGGTGGAGGATCCAGACCACGGCAATTCGCGGCCTCGAAAGATGCCGAACCCTGGCATTCTGCCCCGTCGCCCATCGAGGCGGTTTGACTTGAGCGCGCGGAAGAGAACCCAGGCGGGCGGAGCGAAGTGCCCGCCGGTCTCTGGCTGGCAGCGCGGCGCAGCGGCAACTGTTCGACGCGGGCGCGGACTCTGGGACGATACAAGCACATGACCATTGAAGAGCCAGATCGTCTCTGGGCTGGACCCTGCCGGCAAGGGATGGCTTGCGCGAAGGATCGTCAACGTGATCGTAGGAATCGCGAGGAGATTCGCCCATCTTGTCGCCATGTGCAACGATTGTCAGATGGACTTGGCGCGCTGCATAATTATTCACTGCGTGGAGCTCCCCATATGTGCATCTACTCGCATGGACCTGTCCGCCGTGAATGTCTAGGCGCAAGAGCTTTCGAACACTAACGGGTTTCAGTTGCGACGGTCTGGACATCAATCTAATTGCGAATGAATTGGAGTGTGAATGAGCCTCAGTAGTACGAGCGCGTCTCTGTGCATGAGCCTGGGGCCTCCTGGGGCCTCCTGAAACCTACTGGGGTTTCCTGGGGTCTCCAGGGGCCTCTTGGGACCTCCTGGGACCTCCTAGGAAGGTTTCGTGCCCCAGGAGAGGCGCAATCTATAGCAACAGACGTACATAAAACATTCCGGATTAGAGCCACAGGAGAAGGGCAATCTATAGGAACACGCGTAAAACACCAAGGACTCGTGCCCCAGAGGCCCAATATATAGGAACATGAGTAAAACATTTAGGATTGTGTGCACAGGAGAAGGACCATCTATAGAAACATGCGTAGAACATCAAAGAATCGTGCTCCAGGTGAGGCCCAATCGATAGGAACATACGTAAAACACATGGGATTGGAACCACTCCTGTTGCCTTCTGAGGCCTCCTGCTCCTCCGGTTGCCTTCCGAGGCCTCCTGGCGCTTCCTGTTGCCTCCTGGGGCCTCCTGTGGTTTCCTGAAGCCTTCTGGAGCTTCCTGGGGCCTCCTGGAGCCTCTTGGGACATCCTGTGGCCTCTTGAGTCTTTCTGTGGCCTCCTGATGCCCCCTGGGACCTCATGTGGTCTCCTGGGGCCTCCTGGAGCCTGTTGGAGCCTCCTGTGGCATCCTAAGAAGAATCTGCGCCCACGAGCCTAGCCACCAAAACAAGCAAGCCGATCGAGGCATCCTCAAAATCTGGCCCACCTGGGGGGTGAAAGTGAGCGCCTTGCTCGAGACATCCTCCAAATCTGCTCCGAAAGCGAAGGATGTTGAGCCCAGAAACAAGCAAACCGCCTGGGACATCCCCACAAAATGGCCGCGAACGAGCCTGGCAACCACCCCTGGCGGCTCCCCTTAGGGCCACGAGCCTGGCCACCAAAACAAGCAAACCGATCGAGACATCTTCAAAATCTGGCCCACCTGGGGGGTGAAAGTGAGCGCCTCGCTCAAGACATCCTCCAAATCTGCTCCGAAAGCGAAGGAAGTTGGGCCCAGAAACAAGCAAACCGCCTGAGACATCCCCACAAAATGGCCGCGAACGAGCCCGTGCAAACACCCCTGGCGGCTCCCCTTAGGGGTGCTGAAACCAGCGCCCCGCCTGAGACAAGGGCCGCGAGCCTGGCCACCAAAACAAGCAAACCGATCGAGACATCCTCAAAATCTGGCCCACCTGGGGGGTGAAAATGAGCGCCTCGCTCGAGACATCCTCCAAATCTGCTCCGAAAGCGAAGGAAGTTGGGCCCAGAAACAAGCAAACCGCCTGAGACATCCCCACAAAATGGCCGCGAACGCGCCCGTGCAAACACCCCTGGCGGCTCCCACTAGGGGTGCTGAAACCAGCGCCCCGCCTGAGACATCCTCACAATCCGCTCTCCAAGCGAAGGATGTCGGGCCCAGAAACAAGCAAACCGCCTGAGACATCCCCACAAAATGGCCGCGAACGAGCCCGTGCAAACACCCCTGGCGGCCCCCCTTGGGTGCTGAAACCAGCGCCCCGCCTGAGACATCCTCACAATCTGCTCTCCAAGCGAAGGATGTTGAGCCCAGAAACAAGCAAACTGAGTGTGAGTAAGTCTGTGTATGAGTAAGTCAGTGTATGAGTATGTCTGAGTGTGAGTAAGTCTGAGTATGAGTAGGTCTGAGTATGAGTAAGTCTCAGTATGAGTAAGTCTGAGTATGAGTAAGTCTGAGTATGAGTAGGTCTGAGTATGAGGAAAGAGGAGGAGGGGAGGAGGAAAGAGGGGGAGGGAGAGGGAGTAGGAGGCGTCCAAGTAATAACAAGAACCCCATCTTAGGATATGGGGGATAAAAAGGCGAATGCGTTGTCGAAGAGCCCCCCCCCCTGGTGAAAAGGACCCGCTGGGGCATCGGTCCATCTCGCCGTCAAGGGCGGGGGGCTTTTTGTTTGCATCCTCGGCAAGGATCGGTTCCTTGGCGAGGCTGCCTCGTCAGAAAATGCTGGCTTGAAAATGGGTCAGTCATAGATGGGCGCGGTGCGCTTTGCGTTGCGATGCCCCTGCCGATGGCGAAGGGCCCACCACGGACTGTGGCGCCAGTCCCCGGCGGCGCACGCCGCGGCCGCGCCTGCGGCTGGCCGGCCCAGCGCGCCTCCGCCCCCTCCTGCGGAGACTGGTGGCAAAACAGATTGAGCGCATCGGGGAAGGCGCCCCGCCCGGCAGCGAGGCGGCCCGGCCCAAGGGGCAGGGGGGCGATAAGGGTGGAGATGGGGGGCGAAGGGGGATGGCACTCCCACGGGTCCAGCGGTCGCTGTCCGAGCCATGAAAGCAAGAATCGCCGGAACGATAAAAATAAATGGCGCGGCATAG